GCTCCCCCTTTACGTTGTCGTCAAGTTTGAAGGGTACTCGGGGGGGGAATGGTCGTCTCAGGAGAGGTATAGACGTTGTGTCCCTATTTCTCCCGTCGACACCACCTGGCAGGACGGGGGGACGCAGGTCAGGACGCAGCTGCCCCTTAGGCTCTGCTGGGCAATTACGATGCACAAGTCCCAGGGGCAGACTTTAGCCAAGGCCGTCATTGACTTGGGGCCCAAGGAGGCCTGCACGGGGCTTACTTTCGTCTGTCTCAGTAGGGCGAAGAGACTTGTGGACCTCATGGTAGAGCCCATGAGTTTCGACAGGATTGGTAACCTTGGAAATTCGCCGACGATGAAGGCTAGGCTGCAGGAAGAGGTTAGACTTGGGGAGTTAGCACAGAGTACGAGGGTCAAGTACACGGACATGGGCGTCTTCAGCGCCGTCGCGGGTAACCAATGACGTGAATTGCAAAGAGAAAAAGAAGAAGAAAGGGTCTCTTCCACCTCCCGCGGACGCACACGTCTGACGACAGTTACATCTATCAGCTGTCGCTCGTTTTAGCGACAGCTACTATATCTTTTTTTTCTTGCGTTTTCTTTCGCACCTCGGTTCCATCTCTCGAACCGGTGCCATCTCACCGACCCCCGCGCGGAAATATGGAGGTTAATTCGTGTCTTTCTTAGCCGTTTCCAGGCACCGGTGCGATCGATCTCTCCGACCGGTGCCATATCCCCGACCGGTGCCATTTTTTCGCCTCATATCATACGGGTAGTAGGCATATGGTACATGTAGCACAAGGGGTTCGATGGCATGATGGTAAAAAGCGAACAACTGTCGTCATGCCCGGCGAAGAGATGCAACCTTAACCTTGTTCATTCTTTTCGCCCTCTGGTCTATGGTACGCATACCTTTACCACCCAAACAACGGCAGGTCTCACGAGGTCAGCACGAAACACAAAGGGAGCTGAGGCGTGACCATGAACGAACATCTGCAAGGAACGAATGCGCCCGTTTCCGCGAGGGTCTCGAGTACTTCTTGTTGAGCGTCGGGATATGTATCGCTTCTTCCGCGCCAGCGGGCAGGCGGGGCACGGCGAAGAAGGCGACGCGAACGTTGTTCGGCGCTTTCAATTTTGTTGCAAGAGGATGCGGTTCGGAGGGGCGGGAGACGGACTTGGTTTCTTTGGGTTCCTCGAGTGGATGGACGAATATCTCGCTTGTTTCTTTGGCAAGAGACATCGATTCCTCCGTTGTAACATCGGCTGGAAATTTGAGGATAATAATGCAGTTTGTGAGCGAGAACACGTAAGAGGACCATACGCGGCTACACAAGCACATCTGGGTGTTCCTGGTTTCTACAGTAGAACGCATACAGTCGTCCCCGCTTTCAAGACACCCTCTCCAAAAACACTCTCCGCTTTAAGGACACAAAAATCTCAGAAACATGGTGCCCCGCAGATGTGCAAAAGTAGGAGGGGTAGGATTTTCCACCATTCGACCCCCCCCCAGAAAATGTGCTGCAGCACCTGTAGATCCTGGATCATCAACAGCGGTCTGCTGCAGCCGCACACTGCGTGTGGGTGTATTGAAAGATTCATTCCATCTGCTAGCGGTTCGTCTGCTGCCGGCTTGAAGCCATGCGGCGAACCGACGTGCCAGTTCAAATCTGCACTGGTGTCACTGGTTAATCAGTGTCCGTGCGGGCGACCCAAGCACGCGTTTTGTGGTCGGGGCATCGGAGAGTAAGGCCACGGACAGCAGAGAGAGTGCTCGGATTGCCTTGGGTGAAGTCTCGTGAGGTTGAATGTGGCGTTTGTGTTGTGTTGTGCCTCGTTTTGACCTTTCGGGAGGCGCGGTGTCCTCTTTGTCGCTGTGCTTTCCCGACATTTTTGATCTGTGTTTCTGCGTAACCTACATTTATTTTCCTAGTGTCGTTTTACGACCTTCGATATTTCTCAGGTGCGGTAGCGAGATCTTGGGCAAGATATTCACGGGTAGGACAACGCCTAAAAAACAAAATAAAGCAAATAGTTAACCCCGTATCAACACCAGCGCACTACAGTCGTGTACATGTACGATGCGTAGGTCGTAGAACACCATCGCTTTCAGCGTTTTGGTGGTACAATTACGGGGAAATTCAAACGATGGTATTGTTGTTGTTGTTGTTGTTGTTGTTGTCTTCACATTAAAAACCATCCCGGTCTCTCTATCCAGTACCTCCTTCTGTCTCAATCTCTCCGTACTAATCCATCACTTGACTCGGCCAATTTCCGTGGTCACAGGCTAACGTACCTAGAAAAGGTATACCAAAATAAAATGGACCCCAAGGGTCAGCAGAGCGATAAAATACAAGAAAACAAAATATAATCAGAAACAAATAAAATAAAATAAAAAAAATAATTAGACTAGTGGAACGGCCGCACCACCAGCCTGGGGGGGTAGCCTCCCACTACATGGAGGCAGGTCGACGGCCAAAGGAAGGGGCGGGGGTACGTGCCAGTAAAAAACAAAACAAAAGACAAAATAAAACAGAATAAAGCAAAGACGAGGACACAAACAAACTCGCACAGAGACAGGGATATCCCTAGAGACAGTCTGAACGCGACAGCAAACGGGGGAGAGGGCAACAGAAAAATTAGTCGTTGAAATTCGACCGCAACATGTCACGTCACGCGGTCGGTCTGCAAGTATGTATTGCAGCACAATAGCAGTGGTTGCGACCTTCAAATCACCTTGTGTCTTAGGTTTCAAACAACACCTCTTGTGGTCGCCTCTCTGCTGCGAATGCGCACCTTTTGACATATGTCGCCTTCATTGGCCCCGGGGATGGTGCGTTAGTGGCCCCGGAATTTTTAAGCCTTCCCTGCGTTGAAGACACTTTTTTCTGGGAAAACGTGGTGTGTCCTTAAAGCGGGGTCGACTACCAACAGGTGGTACGATTTATTGATGAAACCACCGCAACTGCTACACCGCTGTAGTAATGTGCTGTAGTCAACTCCCCGTTACTTACTTCGAAGATAGAACAGAGAGAGCTACCGTGTGACACTATTTTCGACACCGTACAGAAGAAAGATGCCCTCTTTCTACCTCACATGATAAACGTATGAACATAGACTACATACGCATAATACGGAGTGATACATCGACGCCACGGGTACAGCAGTACCCAGAAACTCCGACGATGCCGGGACACGGCGTATTGCTACATTTGATTGACACACAGCGCCACGACAATCGACACCGCAGCGCCAGGGGTACGCGATGGAAAAACTTCGCATAAATGCAGGGAGGTACTGGGGTTGGTGCATATGCACCAAAATCACACGATACACTTCGAGAGCTCCACAGGTGTACACCAGCCCGCCGTACTGCAACAGCAACAGAGTACACGTTTTGGTCTTCTCTTAGCCTTGGATGGCATGCGTCATAACTTCAACTTTGTCTTTCTTCTCTAAGACCTGGATCTACCCTACTTATTCTGTGTTGAGCTGCAGCGCGCCTCTCTTACGTCACGGTGCCCTGCTGTGCACTGCTCAAGTACACCTGCAGAGTTGGGGGGGTTTCCAACGGTACAAAGCAGTCTACCCTGCGGTCTCCTCCCCGATTTGGAACAGTTGTGACGTTCGGACTGCTGTGCTGCTGCAGCGGCGAGCGGAGATTCCGAGCAAGTTGTACCTCTTTCTAGTCTTTGGTTCTGTGTCATACACCATGGAACCCACTGACGTAGTACCTACGTTCGGACGGACAAACTCACATAGATGAGGGCCATCGTGCCAACCGCCCCTCTAAACACTTCGGGGGGCAATCGTACAAGCGAACGCGTACTACAGTAGTCGGTTCGTCGCATCTTGAGGGACGTCTCCCCTGCCCACTGCCCACCACACGTACTCGCTCACATATAAATCTGATAGCAGCAAGTAACCCCCCTTGGCAGGGGAAATATCTAGGAAAGTGCAAAGATGTGATACTCGTGATTTTTATCCGTATCACGCCAGGCCGAGCAGTTTTCTGATTGGCTGACGTGTTCGAGAAAACAACTTTTCTTTTTTTTTCACCGGTTTGCAGACCAAGCTTCGCGTCGCTCTTCGTCCCCGCCCACTTGTCACACTCCCAATACCAACCCAGAAAGCAACCTTTTGCTGAACTTCTGCACAGGCAAAAAAGAAATCCCAAGCTTCCCTTCAAGCCCCAGCCTTCGCGTCAACGTACCAACACTCAACGGCACCCATCACCTCTTCCTCTATCACGCTCACCCAACGCAAGATGGCTCGCAGTGGATTCGTTGCCCTGGCCTGCGCCATGCTCAGCGCCGCCAACGCGCTGGAAGTTGTGACTCCGTCTGCCGACCTGATCGTGGTTGCTGACCGGTGAGAAAGCGAGCGAAGGACGTGACCGCTACGGCGGGGGAGAGTTAGTTGCGCGCCTTTTTTGGGCCAACTCGCATAGATGTTCACACAGCACGCAATGCTCGTCACCGCTACCCCACGGGCTAGCGCGTATACTCTTGCGTGCCTGGCCGTATTGCTTGGGACTTTTTTTTCCGCCGGGTGTTTCTTTTCCGTTCCCCGACGACCACGGAATCTAATTTTTTTCGTCTCGTTACACGCCCGCCTCGCAACTTGCGACTGTTCGTCCTTCTCGCTCGGTTGTGCAGCACTTACACGGTGGAGTGGACTGGAGCCGCCTCCGGACGCTTCGAGATTGACCTGTACCACTGCGGTTCCATGTGCATGGAGGTGAGAGATGCGTAAATACAAGAGTCAAGTGCCGAACCGATCCAACGGTACCAAAGTGGCGCGCCACGTTGCGGGCTTGCGCGAAACCAACGGGCTTATTCATAGCTCCCTCCGTTCCCATAGGGTGTTCAAAGGAAACAAACAATCGTTGGCAAAACACCACTGCCTGGGCGGCCCGGGCTCACCCCACACTCGTGGGTCACGCGGTCGACCAGGGTTTTTTGAACGTGCGTATTCAGTGATGGCGAAACAAGACCCAGCAGCTGCCATGAATGCAGCGTAATTGTGGCTACATTTTTTGTTCTGGGTTTCGAGGATGGATGTAACAATCGAGTACCATTCCCCGCCTTCGATCCAGAGAGAACTGGGGTAGCTAACGAGCGCCTGGGCCTAAGAGAAGTCCGATACATTTCCTTCCGCGGGGTGTAGCCACTTTTGTGAGTTCGTTTACCAAGATGTAGCCGAAGTACCGGACCCTTCCGGAAACTAGTCTAGAAAACACCCCCCGACATTTGTCTTTGTTGTTCGGTGTATTACTTTTTGTTGGATCTTTGGATCGGGTCGGCTTCCAACGTATGCATGAAACAAATCACCATCCTCGTACTCATTCGACGCCCGATAGGACTCCTGCGGTGACTGGGTGACCGCCCTTTGCCCCTACGGCGAGGACGGATGTCCCGACAACGAGGGCGACTACGACATCATCATGCCCGAGCCCATGTCGGGCGAGTCGAACTCGGGTTACAAGGTGCGCGTCATGGATGTCGCAGACGAGGACGACATGGACTGCTCCGATGCTTTCTACCTGATGGCCTCCGAAGATGCGCCGGACGCCGGCGAGGACGGATACTCTCTCACCGTCACTTCGCCGGCTGAAGGCGACATGGCAGAGGCAGGGGAGGAGTACACTGTCGAGGTGAGATAAAGAGCCAGCTCAGTTCTATAAAGAGTCAACATGCAAAATCGAACATTTTTTCCGGACGCGTGCCGTGATTGTAGCCAGTTTTTTTTTTGCCATGGTGGAACGAATTTTTCTGCGTTCGTCGAAAGATGCGATAAAACAAGGGCACCATGATCCTTTGTGATATTATCAAGTTTTAAATTATACATAAGTCCTCAGCCGCCGCCTGGCCGCCTGGCTTCCGACAAAACTTCCTTTGCCGTTGGCGCGTGAACTTGAATCGTGTTCCCTTGTGCTGCTTGCAACAGTTCGACTACGACAACGGTGTCGGGTCAAAGGTGGACAGGTTCTCGATCGACCTCTACATGGCTGACGGTGACGGTGACTGTGGTACCTACGTGACTTCCATCTGCGACAAGCCTTCGATCGGATGCAAGGACTCGAGTGAGTGCCACCAAAATGGCCGTAGTTCATTTTCAGGTTCCAACGATTTTTTTTGCCTCGTGGTCTCTACATCTTGAATGCATGTGCTCAAGTCTTGGCCGTGACCATTCGCTTTTTTTATTGAAGCGTGAACCAACGAATACCGTCTAATGACCGCCATCTCTTCAATTTGCGTCGTACCCCTGAAATTCCCAGTGGGCGACTACGACGTGGAGATCCCGTCTGACACTGAGGCTGGTGACTACAAGATCCGAGTAGGCCGCTTCGAGGACGAGAACTTGTACGGCTGCTCTGGCACCTTCACAATCATGGGCGGTGACGACGAGAGCATGTCGTACGACTTTTAAGTACAACTTTTTCCGGTCGAATTCCTTGACCGAGCGGTGTCGATAGTGTGGAACTCATGGTGCACCTTTGGTGCGAAATGACGGTAGAGTAGCGCCGTGGATTTTTTTTCTCTAGAATTTTCAGTCTTTGGGCTGTCTAGCACACTTTTTCCCGACATGCCAGAGAGTGTCGCGGCAAACCCGACAGCGGGGATGTCATGACTGCTTCCGTTGGAATTGTTGTCACTTGTTTGTCGTGGCGTCGGCAGGCAGACTTGCTTGAATGAAGCCTTAACGTGTAGCCCGCCGTATGGTTTTCGAGGCCGGCGTTCGTTCTTTTCTATACCACCATATTCTCCAAGGTTTGTACAACCAGGTGTGCGGGAAATGAATCCTTTCTACGTTGTCCCCGTTGTTAATTAGGTTTCATGCTGTTGAACCTGGCTTGAAGTTTGACGTTGACTCCCACGATGTGCGTGTGTGGCGTCACGTTCCTTGCCTATGTTTGCGGCACTTTTACGTCGCGTCGCGTCCTCTGGTATTAATGTGAGGCACCGCGCGCGCTACATTTTTGGTGTATTTTTTTTCTTGTACGTTGCCCCCTCCTTTTCCCTCCCTTCGAGAGGGCAGATCGAGCGTGGTGGCAACGAGTTCATGTTTCTTGGCGATCCATAGCGAGTGGATTCAATGCTGCACGCATGCAACCTGCGCGTTCGCACAGTAGTGGGTGCTGTGTTTGTAAGTCTGTACGACGTACCAAAGATGAAACGAGGGGATGTTTCTAGGACCGGGACAATGTTTTTTAGCTATAGCAGTCATCTCGCGGTGGTTTGTAGGGTACCATTGTTCATTGGATTGCAGTTTGTGAAAGTTGTCGGATACTGTTGTGAAAGTTAGGCCTACATGACATTCTGTTTTGCTTCGCGCGCAACCTTGAGCTTGCCCTGAACTAACAAATGTCTGCTGTCTTCCGTGGACGCAAATATTTGCGAAAACATTTATTGAATTATTTGAACGCAACATCCTTCCCAACCATTCAGGGACACTGCGGCACGTGCAACTACGGGCTATATTTTGCCTGCTGCGTAGACGTTGTCCCAATGTGGGAAATTACGTCTTAACCTCACTATTTATTCCCACGAAGATAAATATTGTGGGCATGAATCGCAGAAGGCGGTCGAGTCCCCTCCTCCAGCGTGGCGTTTGTTGTATGGCCTCCCTATGTATATGGAGGTGGAGGATAGGGGCTAGAGGGGCAGATGATAACAGTTCACATGAAGATGAGAGACGGACTTGGGCGCCTTCCGCGCTCGAGTGTGCAGCGGTCCAATTGATGATGTTTCCCGAAGACTACAGCTCCAAAAAGTGTGTCTTTGGTGGGGTGCAGGCTTAGTTTTCCGCGGGTTAAATTGAGTGCCCGACGTCGGGATGTTGAGGTTTCAGCCATATGTAGTATTTTACACTGCACACTGTATGAAAAAGAAAAAGACGGGGATGAGGCAAAAACGTCCCCCCCCTTTGGAAAAACGGCGATAAAACGTGTTTATAGGGCCATTTCAAGCGCGTTTTTTGGGCTACTTGATGCGTGCAACTGCGGACATACCCCAAGTATACCCCGTGACATATGGAACATTTATTTCACCGACGTGCTTGAAAATAATGTATGTTGTACAATATATATATGGAAAGAGACAGCCTATTTGGGCGACAAACCGTGAAAATATTAGCCACCAGCGCCTGCAAATATTGTTTTCTCCTGCTGGAGACCCTTTTTTGGTATCCCAAACTGCAAGGGAGACGACCTGCTGCTGCACGTGAATACAGCTTGTTGTTGTTGACTTCACATTAAACCGTATGCCAGTTGCTAAATGCCAAAATCTAGCAAAGACTCTCAGCCCGTGGTCACGAAAGTGCTAGAGCCATCTGAGGATCTAAAGAACACGCACACGTAGCAAGAAAAAGGTATCCAAGAGCCCGAAGAGGTACTACTACACCTATATATAATCCCTGCAGCACCGTACGCGTGCCCAAAACTGAACTACACGTCCGTCTCACCGTTCGACTACAGC